AAAAGTCTAGGATCAGACGGCTGCACAGATAATTTTACCAAATATATAAAGAACTTACACCAATTCTTCTCGAACTCTTCCAAAAGATTGAAAAGAAAGGAACATTCCCAAAGACATTCTATGAAGCCACCATCATCCTGATACCAAAACAAGACAAAGCAAGACAAAGATAACCACCAAGAAAGAAAATTACAGGCCAACATCTTTGATAAATACAGATGCAAAAATTCTCAACAAAATATTAACAAACCAAACCCAAAAACACATAATAAAGATCATACACCACAATGATGGTCCAACATTTGCAAATCAATCAGTGTAATCCACCGCACTAACAAAAGAAAATTTAAAAACCACATGATTATCTCAATAGATACAGAAAAAGCATCTGACAAAATTCAACATCTATTCCTGATAAAAAGAAAAAAACACTCCTACCAAAGTGGGTATACAGGGGACATATCTCAACATAATAAAAGCTGTTTATGACAAACCCACAGCCAACATGATACTCAACAGTGAGAAGCTGAAAGCCTTCACACTAAAGACAAGGATGCCCAGTCTCATCACATCTATTCAACATCGTATTGGAAGTCCTAGCCACATGAGTCAAACAAGAAAAACAAAAGGTATCCAAATCATAAGGAAGAGGTAAAATTGTCACTGTATGCAGATGACCTGATACTATATATAGAAAACCCTAGTGCTCAGTCACTCAGTTGTGTCCAACTCTGCAACCCCATGGACCTGCCATACACCTCTGTCTGGGATTCTCTAGGCAAGAATACTGGAGTGGGTTGACATGAGCTCTACCAGCGGATCTTCCCAACCCAGGGATCAAACACAGGTCTCCCACATTGCAAGCATTTTCTTTACCATCTGAGCCACCCAGGAAGCCCCTATAAAACCCAAAGGACTCCACAAAAAAACTACTAAGTCTAATTAAATGAATTCAGCAAATAGCAGGATACAAGGTTAACATTGAGAAATCAGTTGCATTTCTTTACACTAACAATGAAATATCAGAAAAGGAATGTAAAAAAAGAAACCAAAAAACAAACAACAAAAAAAAAACAGTCCCTCTTAAAATTGCACCAAAAGAAAAACCCCAAAAACCTAACCGAGGATTTGAGAGACATATCCTGAGAACTATAAAACATTAATAAAGGGAATTAAAGAAGATTCAAAGAAATGGAAAGATATCCCATACTCTTGGATTGGAAGAATTAATATGGCTAAAATGGCAATACTACCCAAAACAATCTAGAGATTTAATGCAATCCCTATCAAATTACACATGACAATTTTTACAGAACTAGAACAAATAATCCAAAAATTTATGTAGATGCCTGCTAAGTCATACCCCTCTTTGCGACCCTGTGGACTATAGCCCACCAGTCTCCCTGTCCATGGGATTCTCCAAAAACTTATAGATCTATAAAAGACCAGAATTGCCAAAGCAATCCTGAGGAAAAAACAAAACAAAAAAGCTAAAACAAAGCAGGAGGCATAACCCTCCCAGACTTTAGAGAATACTACAAAGCTACAGTAATCAAAACTGTGATACTGACACAGAAACATACATTTGGATCAATAGAACAGAATAGAAAAGCCAGAAATCACACACCTATGATCAATGACTTTTCAGCAAAGGAGGTAAAAATATAAAAGTGGGAAAATGACAATCTCTTCAGCAAGTGGTGCTGGGAAAGTTGGACATCTACATGTAAATCAATGAAGTTAGAACACATCCTCACACCATACATTTTTGAGTTTAAAAATAAACTCAAAATGGCTTAAAAACTTAAGTATAAGATATGACACCTCAAAACTCCTAGGAGAGAGCATAGGTAAAACATTCTCTGACATAAGTAGAACCAGTGTTTTCTTAGGTCAGCCTCCCAAGACAATATGAAAAAAAATACAAAAATAAACAAATGGTATCTAATCAAACTTATAAGTGTTTTCACAGCAAAGGAAATCATTTAAAAGGAAAAGAAAAGACAACCTGCAGAAAGGGAGAAAATAATCACAAATGATGTGACAGATAAGGGCTTACTCCTCGAAATATACAAACAGCTCATACAACTCAATAACAACAACAACAGAACAAACAACCCAATAAAAAAATGGGCTGAAGACCTTAACAGACATTTCTCCAAAGATGAACTATAGATGGACCTTAGGCAGGTGAAAAGATGCTCGACATTACTAAGTATTAGAGAAATGCAAATCAAAAGTAAAATGAAGTACCACCTCACACCAGTAAGAATGGCCATCATTAAAAAGTCATCATTAAAAATAACAAATGCTGGAGGGGGGTGTGGAGAAAACGGAACCCTCCTACACGGCTGATGGGAATGTAAGCTGGTGCAGCCACTGTAGAAAACAGTATGGAGGTTCCTCAGAAAACTAAAAATAGAAATACTATATGATTGCAGGTGGCGATTACAGCCATGAAATTAAAAGACACTCACTCCTTGGAAGGAAAGTTATGACCAACCTAGATAGCATATTAAAAAGCAGAGACATTACTTTGCCAACAAAGGTCCGTCTGGTCAAGGCTATGGTTTTTCCAGTGGTCATGTATGGATGTGAGAGTTGGATTGTGAAGAAAGCTGAGCGCCGAAAAATTGATGCTTTTGAACTATGGTGTTGGAGAAGACTCTTGAGAGTCCCTTGGACTGCAAGGAGATCCAGCCAGTCCATCCTAAAGATCAGTCCTGGGTGTTCACTGGAAGGACTGATGTTGAAGCTGAAACTCCAGTACTTTGGCCACCTCATGCAAAGAGTTGACTCATTGGAAAAGACCCCGATGCTGGGAGGGATTGGGGGCAGGAGGAGAAGGGGATGACAGAGGATGAGATGGTTGGATGGCATCACCAACTCAATGGACATGAGTTTGAGTAAACTCTGGGGAGTTGGTGATGGACAGGGAGGCCTGGCGTGCTGCGATTCATGGGGTCGCAAAGAGTCAGACACGACTGAGCATCTGAACTGAACTGAACTGATGATCCAGAAATCCTACTCCTGGGCATATATTCAGAGAAAACTAATTTAAAAAGATACATGCACCCCTGTGTTCATAGCCAAAATATGGAGACAACCTAAATGTCCATCAACAAATGAACAGATAAAGAAGTGATACATATATACAATGGAATACTACTTCATCCATTAAAAAAAAAAACCCAATTTAATGCCATTTGCATCAACACAGATGTGACTAGAGATTATCATACTAAGTAAAGTAAGTCAGAGAAAGACAAATACCATATGATATCACTTATATGAGGAATCTAAAATCTGGCACAAATGAACCTATCTACAAGACAGAAACAGACCCACAGACATAGAGCTCAGACCTATGGTTGCCAAGGGGGAGGGGTGGAGGGAGAGATGGACTGGGAGTTTGGGATTGGGAGATGCAAACTCTTACATTTAGAATGGATAAGCAACATGTTCCTACTGTGTAGCACAGGGAACTATACCCAGTCTCCTAGGATAAACCATAATGGAAGAGAATATTTTTTAAAAGTGTATATATGTGTATAACTTAGTTTGTTGTACAGCACACATTGACACGACATTTTAAATAAACTTTATTTCAATTTTTAAAAGTATTACTAAAACAAAAAAGTCTGAAGGGATCCAAAAACAAGGCCTGCAGTAGACTTACTTCATATCCAAAGACACATACAGACTAAAAGTGAGAAATAGAAAAAGGTATTCCATGCTAATGGAAATCAAAAGAAAGCCAGGGTCACACTACTTACATCAGATAAAATAGACTTAAAATAGTTAAAATACAGACTGTTACAAGAGACAAAAAAAGGACATAATGATCAAGGGATCAATCTAAGAAGATACAGCAATTATAAATATACATGCAACCAACATAGGAGCACCTAAATACACAAAAGCAAATATTAACAGACACAAATGGAGATATCAACAGTAATGTAATACTAATAGAGGGCTTGAACATCCTACTTACATCAATGGACAGATCATTCAGACAGAAAATTAACAAGGAAACACTAGCCTGAAGTGACACATTGGACCAGATGGAGCTAGAAAGCAAAGAACAAACAAAACCCATTAGTAGAAGGAAATAAATGATAAAGATCAGAACAGAAATAAATGAAATAGAAAAAATAGAAAAGATCAGCAAAACTAAGAGCAGTTTCTTCGAAAAGATAAACAAAGTTGATAAAACTTCAGCCAGACTCATCATGAAAAAGAGAGGGTCCAAATCAGTAATTTCAGAAATGAAAAAGGAGAAGTTACATCCAACACCACAGAAATACAAAGGATCGTGAGAGACTCCTAAGGGCAGCTATATGCAAATAAAATTGACAGCCTAGAAGAAATTCCTAATTATCTACTATTTTCCAAGTCTGAACCAGGAAGACATACAAAATACAAACAGATAATTATCGGTGATGAAATTGAATCAGTAGTAAAGAAAAGAAAAAGAAAAAAACTCCCAGTAAACAAAAGTCCAGGACCAAATGGCCTTCGCAGGTGAATTGTACCAAACATTTAGAGAAGAATTAATACCTATCTTTCTTAAATTACTAAAAAAAAAAAAAAAATTGCAGCAGGAGGAACACTTTGAAACTCATTCTATGGTGCTACCATCACCCTGATACCAAAACCAGACAAAGATATCACATAAGAAAGAAAACTTCAGGCCAATATCACTGATGCAAAAATGTAGATGCAAAAGTCCTCAACAAAATATTAGCAAACCAAATCCAAAGATACATCAAAAGATAATATATCATGATCAAATGGAATTTATCCCAGAGATGCAAGGGCTTTTCATTATCTGCTAAGCAATCAGTGTGATACACTTTAACAAATTGAAGAATAAAAATCATATGATGCAGAAAACACTTATGACAAAATTCAACTTCCATTTTTCATTAAAAACTCTCCAGAAAGTGGGAATAGAGTGGGTTTATCTTAACATAATAAAGGGCATATATGACAAACCTACAGCTAACATCATTCTCAACAGTGAAAAAAAGTTGAAAGCATTCCACTCTCACTACTTTTATTCAACATATTGAATAAATCTCCTAGCCAGGACAGAGGAGATACAACGAAGCTGGATTTTAGTGAGCAAACTGATGGAAAAGTGTATAGAAGATTTAATAGGAGAGCTAGTTGGCAGTTTTACCAGTTAGGAATTCAACAGACCTCAGGAAGAAAAGGGAGAAGAAATCACACCATTTTGCTTTCCCTGAGGTATACTATTCGACTGTAAGAACAGTGCTAATTCAGAGCAGATAAATCAACCCAAACACCATTTTCTAATGTTCATTTAGTTAATGGATTTATCTAAAAAGACCCTTTATCTTAGGGAACAGACTTTACCAACATAGCATTTTCTTTTTAGGATCCCCTTTTGTAAAATTAGAAACGAACTCAATGAATGTTCCGTATATTTTACTGCCATGACATTTAAATATGTTTTTCCTCCAGGAAATTTTCAAACTGATCTCTTTCTTCCCAGGTACCTCCAGATCATCAGTTACTCGATGTAAACCTGGAGCCAACTGCCCCAGTTCACACAGTAGCATCAGCAGACAACTGTCCCCTCTCTCTGTCACAGAAGATTCCTCTGCTGCTATTCTTGAACTTCAGAGTCGAGGATCCTCTGGAGTTTGTGGACACAGAGCTGAGAGGCAAAACAGATCAGGTATGTGAGTGGCTGCCTCTTAAATAACAGTACATGTGGTGAGCTTCTGGCCAGCAATGAAAGATCTCACCATTGGCACAGAATGTAGAGATGTGACACTGACTCTTAGGAGTACATGTGAGCAGAGTTTATCAAGTGGAAGGAGAAGGAAGAAGAGAAATGTATAGATATAATCCATGAATGATGGACAGTGTACAGTGTAGCAGAGAAATAATACCAAAACCTATAGTTGGAGGGCTTAACACATGGTTAAACAATGACTTCTAATGCAGTTCACATAAGGAAACTATTTTTCTTATCTTCAAGATGGCAAAAGCCAGCAGTCCTGGGATTTAGTAATAGCAAGCTGTACCCATTCTGAGAAGAATAAAAGCACCAGTAAAATCACAGACTCTGCTCTTATCTTTATTAGGACTGCCAGTCCTTGGAGCCCTTCTAGTTTTCCCAATTTTATACCTCCTTTAGGACAATTCAGTTGCCTCCCTGATCAGCATTTACTATTAAATCAAGACCTTTAACCTTTCTCACATCTGCCTGACCAACCCCTGGAATACTTGGGTTACTGGAATCACTAGATAAATCTCTTAACTATATCCATGGGTTTCCCAGTGAATGTATCATTTTAAAACGTAGCTGGAACATGCATGGGATTTCCCTAGTGGTTCAGATGGTAAAGAATCTGCCTGCAATGCAAGAGTATGCATAAAATCCTTAAAGGATGAAGAAGGAGGACAGAAGAGAGAGCTAAAGAGACAGAACTCTGGAAAACTCTAAAGTGATCAGAAGAGGATGAAGAACAGGACTCAGCAAAATAAACTGAAAAGGAGAGGTTAGTGAAATACGAGGTTGTTATTTCATCTAAAGTAAGTAGTGAAAAAGTATCCATTGAACTTCAAAAACAGGAGATTATTTATTATTATCCAGCAAGAAAAAAATTCAACGGAGTCATGGGGCAAAAGCCAAAACGTAGCAGTTGAGGAAGAATGGGTAGGAAAGAAGCAAAGATAGTTAAGTACAGTATACAGACAGACCTCAGAGATACTGTGGGTTTGTTTTTAGACTCTTGTGGTAAAACAAATATGGCAATAAAGCAAGTCACATGAAAAAAATAAATGCAGCTGGGTCCACTAGGCTGCTGCCCAGTACTGTTACATTTTGGTGATGGACATCATACTGCCTTCCCCAGAGATAATCTCAAGCTTCGAGTCCATATTCACTTCCTCTCATCATATGACCACACTTTTACCTTCCTAAAAAGATTGATTGTGTGCTAACAGATGCTTTCTTCCCTGCCTCAAAGCGTCTCTGTTCTCTTTCTTGCTAATTTGCTAATTATCATCATTGTAGGGGCTTCCCTGGTGGCTCAGATGGTAAAGAATCCACCTGCAATACGGGAAACCTGGGTTCAATCCCTAGGTTGGGAAGATCCCCTGGAGAAGGGAACGGCTATCCACTCCAGTATCGTTGCCTGGAGAATTCCATGGAGAGAGGGAACCATCAGGCTACAGTCCCCGGGGTCGCAAAATTCAGACTTGACTGAGAGACTTTCACTGTCATCATTGCAGGGACCACTTTTGACTTCTGTGTTTGCAACCATTCTGATGCTGACTCCTCCTACATCCATGATTACCTCCTCTCCATCTCTTCCACCTACATTTTCAATCTCCCCTTCTCCATTTATTCCTTCAGCTTTGCCAGCAATATAGTAAAATCTCTTGCATCCTTAAAGTCAATAGTGACACCAGCAAAAACAACAAAATAACTCTATCCAAAAGAAGTGGGCAGTGGGAAAAAATTGAAAAAAAAAAAACCCCCTCATAACTTTGAGAACACTAGCTTTAAAAAATTAGCAGAAGAGAAATAATTCAGGGGACCCAGGTAAATGAAGGTATAGAGGAGATGTGAAAGTAGGTCTAGGGACCTACTTATTTGATTAGAGGTTTTTATGAGAAGAGATTTTTTCCCCCAAAATGACAATATTTTAAAATGGAATCTCAGCAACTATGGACCCCAAGGCCAAAACTCTTTTGTAAAAAGTGAAGAAAATGACATTGTAAATCTTCAGAAAGTTTTAACTGGCTTTAATTAGTTGCAGTAGTATTCTTATTATCTCACTTATCTGCAGAAAAGAATGTTGCAGTTAATTAAATATGGTTAATAAATTTGCCCTATCATATACCAATTACAAATCTCAAAGACTGTATCATTGAAGACCACATGTGGCATAATTTACTCTTTCTGCAACGATTTGGAAGACACTTGAGGATATTCCTAGACACCAAAAAGAAGAAGAAACGAGAGAATCTAAAGAGCAGCTCGCCATGCTCTCATGAATGTTATGGTACTTAACCTCAAAATGAATCCCATGAGCTAAGTATTGTTGGTGTTTGACAGAGATGCTAAGACCAGAGTTAAATATATAGTCAGGGCCTTCTGGTGGCAGGGCTAGGACTTCCACTCATGCTTCCAAATTCCAGTGGCCTCTACCATAAATCTGTGTGACTCTAATCAAGGTTCATAGAGAGGGATGGAATTACTGGTAAATCAATTTTAATGATGTATACAAAACAATAAATCTAAGCAGGACTATAGAAAATCACATTTAAATGATCAGAAAAATAAAAGAACCCAGGAGAGTCAATCTTTCTGTGGTATCTACAGATAGTAAGATTAAAGAATTGTCAACAATTCAATCTAGTTTGCAGAAGAATGAGCCAATACTATGGGAGGATTTAGGTGACTACTGGTGTCATCAAAAGTACTCTGTATGCTCTGACAGTGGTACAGATGTCATCTTCAAAGGTGACAGTAAAGGCAGATGTCAAAGGGATACAAATAATCTTTGTAGAATCATTCCTCCTTTATGAGCTAGTCCCTTAGAATAGTGTGACCTGAAGTGCAATATACCTTTCTCTTCTATTAAACCTCATGCAAGGCTGCCATTCCTGCCAGGAATCTTTTCTCCAACCCATTTCTGAAGCTTCCAGTGCTTAAATGGGGAGCTCACGCCTGAAACCTAGACAGAATGAATATTCAGAATAAAAAGTTTAGACCCTGGAGTCATACTAACTTGGGCTCAACCTTGAACAACCTTTAATGCAAGTCTTAATACAGCTTACAGATTTTGCATCTGTAAAGTGGGAATGGTAATACCCACTTAATTGGGTAGGCTTGTGTTCCCTTCCCAGCCTTCCAACACAAGAGCTCTTGTTCTGCCCTGTTATTCATTTTTGTTTTTTCCCCTCTACTCTCTGTATAAGCCACATGGACATAGCGAATTTGAAGAATGTTATCAGGTATAGTCTGTACACAGCCAAGCATGCTGGTTAGCATACTTTCAGTCTCATCTCAGTGTTACTGCATCACAGAAGTTTCTCCTGGTCACTACACACCTCACCTCTTAACAAGTGCTGCTTGTCTGCCTCCACGTGGCCTTGTATCTGCCATACTCGGCCCTTCTCACACTGTTTTAAATGTGTTTCCTGACCTTCCTCTAGATTTTGAGCTCAAGTCTTTCATTTTTGAACCCCTGGGACCTATTTAACCAGCTCCTGTAGTCTCCACAGGACTTTGTTGAATAAATAAATAAAAGAATACCAGTTTTCATCTTCCGGAGACTAGGCTCTGAGAATTCTGTTTATAAGACTTGGAAGTCATGTAATAATTGCCTGTTTATCCTGCTTGGTTTATACTCTCCAATGAAAAATTCACTTTCAAGGCTTGCTATCTGCTTTCCCCAAATAAATGGCTGGATGAAAGCCTTTGCCACAGCGGGGCAGTCACACCTGGGCCATTAAGCAGTGGAAACATTCAGCAGAGAGCCGGCAGGTTCTGAAGAGGAATGTGAGAAAGCCATCCACTATCACTTGCAGTCTGTGGGCTGTACCACTTGCGTAAGTCCAGGATAAACCTTATGCTTAGAGGAGGTCCCTGGAAACACCATGGAGTCTTACAGACAATTCTGTCTACCTTTCCCCGGATTCTACCATCTGGGGACTCAGGATGACCACTGCTCTCATTTAACGTCCTGATAGGTATATAAATTCATTGTGTTGAACTTGTTTTCAGTCTTAGGGAGAAGGCCTTTATGATTGTCACTTTTGGAGAACTTTGGCTATTTCAATGTGAAAAAAAATGCTACTAAATTTTCTTAGTAAATGTAAAAATATAAAGCAGAACTCACTGTGCTCCCAGAAATATATTAAACAGTAATTTGTTCTGAGGTAGGAGGTGATTTTGTGCAGTCCAGACTTGCTCTGTTTGGGGGCACATCCTTTTCAATTTATTAGTAATCTTTGCTGCAGTTAAAAAAAAAAAAAACTCAGTGGGAAATAACAAATAAATACTTATTTCTCATTCACTTTTTATGTTGGTGAATACAAGGTCCTGACTAGGTCCTGCTCATTCTCCCACAAAGACCAAAGGCACAGCTTCTATTTGAGATTTTCCATTCTCGTGGCAGAAAGGAAGAGCTAGAGAGGTAGTGGGACCGTGTGAAGCCTCTTTTTTTTTTTTTAAGCATTTTTTTTTTTTAAGTAATTACTTGTTTTATTTTTTTTTTTCATTTATTTTTATTAGTTGGAGGCTAATTACTTTACATCATTGCAGTGGTTTTTGTCATACATTGACATGAATCAGCCATGGAGTTACATGTATTCCCCATCCCGATCCCCCCTCCCACCTCCCTCTCCACCCGATCCCTCTGGGTCTTCCCAGTGCACCAGGCCCGCGCACTTGTCTCATGCACCCAACCTGGGCTGGTGATCTGTTTCACCCTAGATAATATACATGTTTCAATGCTGTTCTCTTGAAACATCCCACCTTCGCCTTCTTAAAGCTTCTACTGAGAGGTGGCACACCATACCGCAGATAGTGAACACACCATCTGTCCATGTTTGATTAGACAAAGCAGATCATGTGGCCAAGGCCAAAGCCTTTGAAGCTGAAATGCTCTCACAAGGAGGTGGGTAGGGTTCCCCTGAGAACAGAGAGCATCCACCAACTTCATCAGCATCATCATGGCCTGGATAAGGGTCCCAGATACACAATATACCTTACAGAGCAGAGATTCCAGACAGAAAATGAACCAGTGTTAGTTGTCTCTTCAGACCATAGTAGGGAAAACAAAACACTGGTGATTCTACTGTCTGTCTCTTTCATTTCTGTTTTATAACTTGATTTCCACACATTTGTATTCCTTTCCTGTTTGCAGGGGATGATGGAGCACAGACTCATCCTGAGAACAGCAGCCAAGAAAACAGAATCAAGGCTCGCTGCCTGTCCTGCATGTCCATGGTTCTGAAGGCTGTCTGGGGACTTTTGATCATCTTGTCAGTGTCATCATCTTGGGTTGGAACCACACAGATTGTAAAAATTACTTATAAGAACTTCTACTGTCCATTTTTCATGACTTGGTTTTCAACAAACTGGAACATTATGTTTTTCCCAGTCTATTATTCTGGTCATCTGGCCACTGCTCAAGAAAAACAATCTCCAATGAAAAAATTCAGGTAGGTTTCATGTTAAATGGCCAATAGAGATGGTTTGAAATAATTTCATGCAAATATGCATGATTTCATCTCTTTGAAAGATAAGTTGAGGAGTGTGGAGAGGCAGGATCTAAGGTCAGTAATGAACATATGAACATGAAGAAACAGAATCAGCTCCCTCCTCCCTCCAAAATTATTGTCTACAACATGCCAAGCACTGTGCTAGTGCTTTTGCAGATCTTATCTAATTTTCATTGGTGGTAACAGCCACCTTTTAAGGTGGTGTTAATTATCCCTATTTTAACACAAGAATAACAGGTTTGGAAAGATTCAGTGACTTGTCCAAGGTCACACATTTATAAATAATGGAACCCAGATTTTAATCCAGCTCAGTCTCTCTTTTATCATGTTTTCAAAGAACAAGCCAGGGTCTCGAGCCCGGGGGCAGGGAAACTGTATTATAAAGATTCTTACAAAAACACTCGCTCAGTATTCTGGACACAGCGGTGTTATAGCAGATAAAATGGCTTGGCCTGGCCTTGGGATGGGTTAAAAAACGCTGTTCTTTGCTGGCTAGGACCAGAGAGCCTTGTCTGTTGGTTTGCTGGCCATGAGCGTGACAGTGCCATGGTCCTGTTGGTTGATCTGAGTTCGACCTGGCTCCTGCAGCTCCATCATGGAGAGATGGGAAAGTTGGCAGAGCCATGTCATCCAGTCCTGCGCGGCACTGAGGAGAGGCAGAGTAGCATTGGGGTTAAAGGTCCTTTGCTAACAGAGCTTGAAAAGAAAAACCAGAATCAAGGAACAACTTCCAGGACAGTCACTCTGCTCACCAGGAGAAAACAGTGGTCTTGACCTCAGCCGATTGTAGTGGGAGAGTGACAGCTTTTTGCTTATTCCTCCTCAGCAGAATGGCAATAAATTTGTCTTGCAGGGGCCCAAATAACCTTTCTATCTTGCCCTTTTACCTTATGATGAAAGGATGATCATCGGTGCATGATAAGACTGTCCTTAAAAATTTAAGGCACTCTGAAGGCTTTATCTTCAACTTCCATCACCAGCTTGGAATTGCCCAGGAATATTGACGTTGCACTGTGAGCTGACTTTCTATGTGTGTCCATGAACATTCTGCTATCATTGAAGCAACAAAAACCAGCTCAAAAAGAAGTGTTTTCTGGTTTGGAGGAAAGAAAAAAGCCTTATACCTGTTAAGGGTTGCTAAGACTAATTTCTTCCCATCAAAACAGACATGAGGTCTTTTTAGATAACAATACTTAACACATGATTTCAGGGGACATAATTATCGGACTAAAGTCTCCCTGATTGCAGACACCTCCACTTACCTATAGTGTATATGTGCTACTCAAAGGTTCCTATGGTTTCGACACACATGCTGATGAAAAACAGCAGAAGGGTAATATGGGAAGCAATGCCTCAGAATACCTCAAAGCAAGCCAGGTCAGTTTTACTTAAGAGAACACATTTACAACAAGAGGCTCCTGCTGACAGAAGTGTTGTTTGGAGAATGAGTTTCTCTCACACTGAACTAACTCTTAATGTAGTGAAATCTGTGACTTGACAGGACACCTCCACCTGTTAGTCCTAACGTGAAGTTGACCATTTGTGAAACTGAATCAAAGAGCTTTTATTTTCAAGCAGAAAACATTGTCTTTGAAGGGAATATTCTCCAGTGGCCCCCTCCGTATGAAAGGTAAACACTGCCAGAAAATTCTGAGATCCTTGATCTTTATTCCCTGTAGATTCATTACCACCGTCTGCCAAGAAGTCACCCCATGAAGTTCTCACGGCAGAGCAAGGGGAGAATAGTTAGTGTCTAAGACTGGAAACAGGATGTATCCCATAGCATCACACCCTCTATTTTCTCCTTTTCTCTTGAATGGTATGAAAGCATTTTGAGTTTTTTTCCCTATCACTAACATCAAAAGAATTTTCAACAAAGTATCAAACTTAGATGGTAAGGATTGTGCATTTGGAAATAGTTTTTGGTATTTCAATCATGCCATTTATATACAGTTAAGAGAATTCAATTGCCTCAGGTGAATTTGAAATTTAAGAAAAAAATTATATACTGTAGTTTTGATGGTATATCAAAAGAATATCAAAGGGTCATTTCTTAAGGAAAAAATCTCTAGAAAGCATGAAACTAGAGCCAAAGACACACTTGCCATATGTCAGGAAGCTATGAAATGTGCTTAAGATGCCAACCAACATACAGAAAGTGTTCCATTAACTAGTAGCTGCTGGAACAGTGATGAGCATGATTACATTATTAGTACCCCCAACTTCTAAGCTTCTTTCCAAATTTTGCCTCCTGTCAATGCTTCTTGTCTAGAAATGCTGAACTCATCATCCCAGGAAGTGACATGCTGTTGTTACCCATTTCTTCACAGAAATCCATCTTTTTAAAAGAAATTTTCACCTTTCCTAGCACTTAATGCTTAAACAGCAAGAGGTTTTACCCAGGTGAACTGGTGTTTGAATGGAGACCAATTTTAGTTCTTGTAACAGCAGTGACAAGTGGGGAGAAGGTTGGCACTGAGAGGAAAGGGGAAGAACGGGTAACTAGGGGGAAGCCAGTTCCTGGGGGACAGGATAAGCCAGGCCAGGAGCCTCTACTAGGCAGCAGTGCTATGCTGGGGGCACTCTCCCCAGCCCACCTGCCTGTGCTGGCTTCCCCACGAGGGCAGGGTGTTTCCTTTCCTGAATCCAAAGTCTTTGAGCGCACTCTACCCAGCATGATGGTGGAACCCTTGATAAGAAGAACCATCACTGGCTGGGGCTGGTGATAGGAAAAGAAAGGCTTTAATCATAATTAGATTTGTTGTGGTTCTTAATAAATATGTATTTTAAAGGATGTTCAGAAGTTATAGATGTCAGGATAAATAAACCCATGACTCCCCACTCCAGCTCTCCCTGGCAGATTTCCTCAAAGACCAGATCTCTCTGTAAGGACAGAATACAAAGCATGTGCCTAAATGCTCCATAAAAACTGTTCCTTGCTCTGTGTGTGCCTCTGCTTCTGAGTATCTCAATAGTAGGGCTTTAGAAAGGCCATTCCATTTTATAATATTGTAAATCAATTACACCTCAATAAAGCCAAACAAAGCAGAGACTCCATCCATTTTCCTGTGTGTGTGAGCATGCGTAATTTCTGTTTACTTTGCAAAAGGTTTTGCCTCTGGCTTATTTAGTCCCTTCACTGAACTTTTGTCTCCTTCAAGTTAAAATTTAGCTTTGGGAAATCCCATTTTATGAAACCTTTCCATTTTGGTTGTCTCCCACATGAAAGTAAAACCATGGCATGCATGTCTGTGTGTTCAAAATGGATTTTTAACCTTCCCAGAGTCACTGGCCTACAACCCCTGTGTTCTCAGCTGCTTGGAAGCAGCATTTACTACGAGACTTGATACTGAAGCTCGTCCCCCTGAGCCTGAAGCCTCATCACTTGGTCATGCCCTCCCCACATGCAGTTCTCCTGTGGGCTGAATCACTTCATACAGGGGAGGCAAACATTGGCTGGAGATTGCTTTGAGGCAAAGTAATACTTTGAGACACAATTATCTCTATTCAGAAAGAGCTAGAAGAGAAACCAGAAACTAGAGCTATCTAGAGTCATATAAATAGATTTATAAACATAAATGTGCAACTGTGAATAACTTCTTGCTTTAAATGGGATATTTATACTATGCTTGAAAAAAACAATGCCTGACACAAGATAGTTGCCTAATGAAAGCGTGAATGTTCATGAACAGCTGACTGAAAAAAAAATGAAGCTGAATTTTCCCAGCCTGTTTTCAGTCCATAATCAAAAAGGCATTGTTATTCTATCACTTTAAATATCACCTGTATGTATTGCTAGCTTCAACAGTTTGATTAAAACCACCCTCTGGACTAAATAATCAATTTAGTCAGAAACCATGCAAATCAAAGATTTAACTGAAATGACTATTTTTAGGCAGTGTATTCAGACAACTCCTCCAGAATGGTCAAAGTCTGTATATAAATGGAACTTTAATTTTATTTATTTTATGATTTGGGGGTTATCACAGAAACTTCCTTCATTTTTTCTGCCTTAAAAATGCTATGCTGTGCTTAGTGGCTTGGATCGTGTCCGACTCTTTGTGACCCCGTGGACTGTAGCCCACTAAGCTCCTCTATTCATGGGGATTCTCCAGGCAAGAATACTGGAGTGGGTTACCATGCCCTTCTCCAGGAGATTTTCCCAACCCAGCAATTGAACCCAGATCTCCCGCATTGCAGGCAGATTCTTTACCATCTGAGCCACCAGGAAAGCCCAAGAATCCTGGAGTGGGTAGCCTACCCCTTCTCTAGGGGGTTTTCCTGACCCAGGGATGGAACAGGGGTCTCCTGCATTGCAGGTGTATTCTTCACCAGCTGAGCTACCAGGGAAGGCATAAAAGAAATTAGTCCAGTGGGCAGATATGTTAGAAAGAGGCATAACGTTTTAGGAATAATAAAATACCAAGCTGCACCTGCCTTTACTTGCTATGTGAGGTTGCGCATTGTCTGTAGCCTATTCAGTCTGTAGCAACTGTCTTGACACTGTTGCATTTGTCCATTGGGAAAGCATCTTCTGTCTCTTCCAATAGCTAGTAATTCCAGCAACCAGTCATCTCTGAATTTCTCCAGGCTTCTCTAAGAATATTCAGCAACAGCAGAATGGCTACCCCCAGAATCTCGCACAACGGTTAGGAAAGGCCTGTGCCTGGGGAGATGGGAACTCCTCCATGGAACCCTTTGCACTCATGATCTGAAGGTGGCAGCCCCGGGTTCAGTAGGTTCCACACATGAATGATGGGTCTTGAGGGTTTGTGCTCTTGCCTAAAAATGGCTGTCAAGAGCTAGTCCACACAAGATGTGTTAACATCAATACCTATTAACCTCTCTTTCTTCCTTAGGGAATGCAGTCGAATTTTTGGTGAAGATGGTCTGACCTTGAAGCTCTTTCTTAAAAGAACTGCTCCCTTTTCTATTCTGTGGACTTTGACTAATTACCTGTATTTACTGGCTTTAAAGAAGCTGACAGCCACGGATGTCTCTGCTCTGTTCTGTTGTAACAAAGCCTTTGTCTTCTTGCTGTCATGGATCGTGCTGAAAGACAGGTTCATGGGAGTGAGGGTAATAGCACACTTGATTCAATGCGTGAGGCTGCATTTAATCATAAATCCTTGGCATTGGGAGAGCTGCTTCCTTTTGTGGAGTCTCTGCAAAACTTATTTGGTTCTGAGTACAGATTGAAATTTGAAGATGTGCTAGAACACCCAGGCAGTTACAATGTCATGAGAGGATAAAAGATTGTTTCCATTGGGCAGTCAGCAGATGTCACCAGGAGGCACTCAGGGAAAATAAGTTCTTTTTTTAGAATTAATGGTCTGATCAACTCCTTCTGTGCTTGGGAAAGAAGGGTCTGAGAAAATTAGCCACAGTAAAGATTATTATTTTTTTTTTCCAGTCAACATGTTTGGACAACTCATGTTTTTTGCACCCCCTCCCATGAATGTAATTAATATTGGTATAAGTAGTAAGATCACCAAACAGTAATTAAAGTCACCAGTAATGGCACTATGCCGTTAAGAGTGGCTATATATCTAGTATGACTAATCTAGAAATGGAACTAAAAACAACAACTTGTACTTTGGGGTACATATCCTCAATTGGATAGCATTAAACTTCCACCAACCACTTCAGTTCTGAGTTTATCCCTTTCAGAGATCTGGATTTAAAAATAAAAAGTTTTTTGTATGTTTGACCTTTGTTACATTGATTGAGAGCTATGCAGACGTAAGGAGCCAGATCTCATTCATATAATCTGGCATGCCACCATGATGAAAATACTGAGTAAATAATTCTTTAAAAGGAGATCCAAACAAAGAGTGTTTTTCCAGAAAATAAACATCACATAATTGCTGTTCTTCAAAAGAGGTGTCCAAGACTGGGTTGAAACATTTTTTTTGCTATCAAACTATTGCTCCTGTTGCAATGATTCCTTGCCTCGCTAAATGCTGAAATTCACATCTATATTAGAGAGCTTGTGATAGCCATCATCCTGAAAACATTTTCTTAATAGCCAATTAGCTAATTCTGGTTGTATCTTTGGAGATGCTGTTCAGAAATTCAGAACTGAAGCTTGACACAGACAAGAAGTGGAAAACTACAGCAGAAAACAAGATGAGAAATTCTCAATCAGTCCATGATACCATTCGACTATACCAGATACAGTCTCACACTCATTCTCCACTAGCTAATGTTAGATATCACACCCAAGAGGCTTAGCTTAATGGCATTACTCATGAAGCACTGGCTGTCTAGTGTCAGGAATCCTGACGAGTCCTTGAGAAAAAGAACTTTCTTCACATTGCTCACTGATCCATTCAGCTGGGGTTGACATAATTTGTGGGGCCCAGTGAAAAGTGAAAATGCAGAGCCCCTTGCTGAAAAAAAGTGTGAATAATTACAAGATGGCAACATTATGGGGCCCAGTGCATCTGTACAGGTCATATACCCATGATACTGGCTCTGCCTCTATCTCTTAACACCTAGAACAATACAAGGGACAAAGTGGGGACTGTATGTATTTACGGATATAGTGAATGAACTCATACTTACAAGATCTTTCTCATTTCTATCTATCACCATGAGAATCACCCATGAGAATTTGGACATCTTTTCAGACAAGAGGGAAAGAAAGGACATTTAGGGGCTTTTCCGGTTTTTCAGTGTAATGTGACTACCAAAAGGAAATCAGTACACCCACTGTTAGATTTGCTGCTGTTGTTCAGTCACTAAGTCATGTCCTAGTTTTTGCAACCCCCGGATGGCAGCACTCCAGGCCTTCTTATCCCTCACCATCTCCTAGTGTTCACTCAAGTTCATGTTTATTGTCAGTGATGCCATCCAACCATCTCATCCCACTCCAGTATTCTTGCCGTGAGAACCCCATGAACAGTATAAAAAGGCAATAAGATGCTATTAGATTTATCAGTAAGGAAATCAATTGTATTAGAATGAATGAATGAAACTTATGCAAGAGGTCATATAAAAAAAGATAACGTTTATTTGAGGTCTTTTAGAAGAAAAAACTCAGCTGTGTAACTTATATTTAAATGGCAGATTTAGGAAATCTACCTAGAAGTTACAAAGCATGCTTTTGGGCTAGCAAAAAAGTTAATTAGAGTTTTTCCATAAGATGTTACGGAAAAACATCTTATGAACTTTTTGGCCAACTTAATATTTTAAAATTGGCATCTGTGGTGGGTGAAATGGTGGGCCCCAATAAGGTGTCCACATCCTAACCTCCAGAACCTATTAATGTGACCTTACTTGGAAAAATAAGTCTTTGCAGACATAATTAACTTAAGGATTTTTACAAACAGGAGATCATCCTAGTTGATCTGGGTGTCTGCTAAATCCAGTAACAAGTATCCTTAGAAGACACACACACAGGAAAGACACAGAAGAGGAGGAGTGATGTACCCACAGAGATAGAGATTGGAGTGATGTGGACACAAGCCTAGGAAAGCTGGGGCAAGCCCTAGTGGGTACAGAAACCAGGGATATTGGAGATTTATGAAGTTCAAAGCCTAGGAAAGCTGGGGCAGCAACCAGAAACTGGAAGAGGCAGGAATGTATTCTCTCCCAGAACTGCTGTGAAGAGCATGGCCCTGCCTGATTTTGAATTTTGGGCCTCCACAACTATGACAGAATAGATGTTTGCTGTTTTCAATCACCAAGTTTGTGGTCATTTGTTACAGTAGCCTCAAGAAACTAATACAGTGTCTGTCAGTAATGATAAGACCTGATAGAAAAATTAAGTAGCCAATAAGTAATTGTTAATAAGTAAATACATAAATTAAGACATCATAGGTGATAAAATGATGAGCACTAATGTCAATCATGCTGGAGAAGTCAGGAATTTTTCCTTTAAAATGATAGGAGGCACTTCACTTCTGACTGTGAAAGTGTTAGAAAGTTTTTAATGCCATATTCTAGAAGAATGTCAAGATGTAATTTTAATAATGCCCATAATCAGGCCATGGAATATAAGAAGCACCAAAACATATTCAACATTTTGCCTTTTGACCATATCAGCAATTCTTTTCCTTCTAAGACATATTGAGAACAGGTGTAATTAGGTCATTTGAGAAAGCAGAGGAGGGCAAATAGAATACAGACAACATAAATGCAGCTCTTATTGCCTATATCCATAAATAAGACACTGCCTGTATATGCCACCCCACTTAACTACTCTTTTTAAAAACAGTTTTGCTGTTTTTGACTGAAAACAGGATTGCTTTCAGTCATCAAATCAAAACATATTTCTGGCTTATTCTAAGTCTTCAGTAGTTCAGAAAAAGATGGTTTGGGGGTTATAATTCTCATTTGCATGACCCAAGAATCATCACCCTTAAGGTGAAACATGTGGCCTCAGTGTTAGTCACTCAGTTGTGTCCGACTTTTTGTGACCACATGGACTGTAGCCCACCAGGCTCCTCTGTTCATGGAATTCTCCAGGCAAGAATGCTGGAGTGGGTTGCCATTTCCTTCTCCAGGGGATCTTCCTGACCCTGGGATCAAATCTGGGTCTCCTGTGTTGCAGGCAGATTCTTTACCATCTGAGCCACCAGGGAAGCCTTAACTTGTTAATATTTAGTTTCCTTGGAATATTGATTGAATTACAGATGAAAAGGTAATCACTCATACATTTAGTTTTCTATTATGAAATTCTTTCAACCAATTGGCTGGTAAGCTTTGGTGTGTTAAAAAAAAAAAAAACCCTTTCATAAGTAGTTGCTTACAGCTGATGTATGATTATCCTGTGGAAATTAGCAAACTTCTTTGAAAGACCTTTTCTAATTGCAAAAGTGTTACTGAGAATCCAGCTCTTGCAGGATTAAAGATGGGTGTTTTAACAATCTCCAAGATTCTGTTTTATTTAGCTAGCATTCTTAAATTCATCAGAACCAGAAAAATCACCTTAATAAAAAAAAGTTCTCCTCACCAAAAAAAAAAAAAAAGAAAAAAAATGAGGCACTGCTTCAGGTTTTCTTCTCTGTCATGAGTGTCCATTTCACTCTAATGAAAAGTAAAAGTCAGGCCAGAAAATTAACACACTTTCTTTCAGATATTGTTGCTCCCTTATTTCTCTATTATTAATTGAAAATTTTCTTTTCTTTTCAAATTTGCTTGAAAGTATGAAGGAAATTGGTGGGCAATGAATGGTTCAGTGAACCTTGACTTTTATAGCAGATTTAGGAAATGAATTTGTGTCCCTTCAGCTTGGCACCCACCTATTTTCTAGGCATAATTGGGTCCCTATGTGTTTAGCGTTCCATACTTTGGCTCTTTTGGAGACTTGCTGCCATCTGCCAAGAACCAACCAGAGTATGTCAGTTGAATGGAATCGTTCATTGCTTAAACTGCTCTTCACTGAATTCTAACTGGGCTCCAGGGCACTCTAAATCAGGGCTCTGGAGCTGAGCTTCTACTGATTTATGCCAATATTATATATTTAGATGAGATTCAAGGCAATCTTTTGTTTCCATCTTGCCTTTGATTGACATTTATGCAGTAACTCTTTATTCACGTGCAGTGCAGGCTCCTCTGTCTGGAATCTTCACGCTTCCTGGAGGAGAGAGCAGAGGATGGGTAGTAGGACTCTTCCCCTTTCATCCCCCTCTTGGCAGGAGAATAATTCACAAATACAGGGAAGGGAAAGTTGAATTGGAAAGGTTTTCTGATTTTATGCCCATAAGGAATCCATAAACCCTTTCAACAAGTTATAGTCAACAGGTCCCATCTACCTTCCATATCATCACTATGGAAGGTGATTGCAGCCATGAAATTAAAAGACGCTTGCTTCTTGGAAGAAAAGCTATGACAAACCTAGGCAATGTATTGAAAAGAGGAGACATTACTTTGCCAGCAAAGGTCCATCTAGTCAAAGCTATGGTTTTTCCAGGAGTCACGTATGGATGTGAGAGTTGGACCATAAGAAGGTTGAGCGCCAAAGAACTGATGCTTTTGAACTGTGGTGTTGGAGAAGACTCTTGAGAGTTCTTTGGGCCGCGAGGAGATCAAACCAGTCAATTCTAAAGGAAATCAACTCTGAATATTCATTAGAAGGACTGATATTGAAGCTGAAGCTCTAGTACTTTGGCCACTTGATGTGAAGAGTCAACACATTGGAAAAAACCTTGATGCTGGGAAAGATAAAAGGAGAAGTGGATGACAGAGGATAAGATGGTTGGATGGCATCACCAACTCAATGGACATGAGTTTGAGCAAGCTCTGGGAGATGGTGAAGGACAAGGAAGCCTGGTGTGCTGCAGTCCATGGGGTCGCAAAGAGCTGGACATTACTGAGTGACTGAACAACAACACTTTCCACAAACTCTTGAGTCTTCCCTTCTGGGATTTCTTTCGTTCTTTTTTCCATCCTGGTCTCCCTTTGAGAGATGTGTGTGTGTGGCATGGGGATGGAGGGTGGGAATCTAGTTTGAGATCTAAACCCGTGTGTGTGTGTGTGTGTGTGTGTGTGTGTGTGTGTGTGTGTCATGGGGATGGAGGGTGGGAATCTAGTTTGAGATCTAAACCCCAGGGACCGCCTCACCCCCCTACCCCTGAACACACACATAATATCTGGACTGCTGCAGACTGCCCACCTCTTTTATTTCTCACACATTGACTCTTGTCCAATTTCACTGGCTTTGAGTAAACAGATGGCTCTTCTTTATGGAAGCTTAAACATAACATGTCCTGAGGAGGGCATGGCAACCCACTCCAGTATCCCTGCCTAGAGAATCCTCATGGACAAAGGAACCTAGCAGGCTACAGTTAACAGAGTGGCAAAGAGTTGGACACAACTGAAGCGACTTAGCATGCACTCATGCAAACATAAAATGTGGACAAATTTAAGGATTCTGTGTAGCCATGTTTCCCTGAAGTGGACTCTTATCTAGATACACTCACAGGAAACAAGGATAATAATCACTGCAGGTCTCATTGGCCAAGCTATTGATGTGTATCCACCTTCAACTGCTGACTTTGAGTCCTGACTTGAGTATAGTCTGGCCAGCAGTATAACTTTGAGGCCCTCAATTTCAGAGCCTGATACAGGCTTAGGACTCAAGACTCCAGTGTGAGTGAATCCATGCTCCACCCAGCTCCAGAAACAGGGTTAACCACATCACAAATTAAGGAAATACATTTGGGTTACAATTAGAGAAGCAGTTAAAGGATCATCTTAATACCCTGAATTGAGAAGAACTGATATTGTTATGTAAATAATAGTTCTGGAAGTCATTTGTCAGTGGGAAACACAGTGACTGTAATGAGGTTGGAGATCCAGAGAAGGGCTGGACTCTTGTGGTTTTTGAGGACCTGCGCCAAAAGAGGAAGGAAATTAAGATAAAGGAAAACAGAAACAGGCAAAAGCCAGATATTTCTCTAGCTTTTATCTGTACAGACTAATTCTTCAAGAGGGGAAAGAAACCTAGCTGTCAGGCAGGGACACAGGTAGTATGTAGATCTGTGCAATCCCCAAATGTTTAGTGTTAACGCCCTCTTTGGGCTTTAAAAACAAGCTCAAACCAGGTTCCTCTCTGATTGGCCCTGAGAGCTGATGCAGATTAAGATCTCAGAGCAGACTGAGCCTGCAGAGGAAGGTAGCTGCCTCAGGTGGTGATGTCACTCACGTAGCATACAAGGGTAATGAGCTAAATAAATTCTCTCCCTCCAGGTTCTCACCTCAGGTGGGCACACCACCATGGGAGGGGACCCAGAGGTCCAGAAGGTTAAAAATGAGGCATTGGAAGCTTTATGGTCACTCTGGTTACTAACATTTTCACTGAAGTCAGATTTAAGTAATGGTAGTGGTGGGGTGTCCATCTTGTTTAGACACCTCTGGTTGTTTACGGAGCTAGAACTGGAGTAGGTTGTGAGGAGAGCCTTGTTTTTCTGCAGCCAAGCAGGTGGCACCATGAGATGGTACATTTTCAGCAGAGGAGTCCCTCCTGTGGACACTAACATGCTCAGAAGCATTTTTTGTGTGTTTGTCATCATGTGGATGTCATATGAGCACTTCTGACACAGTACTGAAAGTGCTGGCTTCCTGCTGGCACATTTTCAATGTCCTGCCCAAGAAGAATCACTTTGTGTTTTTTTGTTGAGAAGACAATTAGTCCTGCCTTAATGACTGATTACCTCTGAAAATGCACGTGACTCAGACCTGTACTCAGGTTACCTGTTTTCTGGCAATCTCAAGAATATTTACTCTTGCAGTTAACCAATGATGGGAGACAGAGCCACTCCGAGATCATCCAAGCCACCACTCCAAATGAACCTGCCACCCAAAATTTCCCTGAATTTTCTAGATTAGCTGAGTTCCTTTCCCTTAGTTTCAACTATGTAGATAAGAAATAGAATGAAAAAAATTTTAAACATGGCCATAGAGAACTTGTTCTATCAGATAGTTGTGAAATGTAAATAGAAATGTGGAAAATAATTTAAATTATCTTTTATCCCCAGGTAACCTACTAACCTATAAATAACTGTTCATACCATAGACAGGAATTTTTCTAACATCACAAATATCAAATTTTCATGCTTTTGGAACTTAACTAACAGTGTTGTCTGGTCCCCTGAAGTGAAAAATGCTTCTCTCCATGAACACAATTCAGAGAGATGCTAGTGTAATTGATATGTCAATTTAAATGGTCTGAGCTAATAATTTCACAAGCACTTGAATATTAAATATAATGGAGATCTTTAAGAGGCTCATCATGGTTATAATTCTGAATTGCTATAAAGTTATGTAACCTTTGTCCACGTCCAATTTCTATCTTGAGAAAACTTATAACAGAAATATAGTGCATATGTATTTTTACTAATGGCTGACTCAGAAAAGGAAGAGTTCCCAATTGGGGTCATATCCTGTGGCTAACTGTATTCCTTGTTCAACATTTTCCAGACAGTGTTTTTGGTTTTTTCCCTATTTTTTGTAGGGACTATTTGTTTTCAGGATTCCCTAAATCACTTTATGTATTATCCACAATTGCCTAAGCCTAGATATTGTATATTATAGAATAAGTTTAATATTTTAAAGTACAAAGCAGTATATCACATTAAAGTTCTTTAGGATTAACATTGTATTCTATTATCCCTGTCTTGAAGATATCACCTGTTTATTTGACCAAGAAAATACTACTGATGCTTGGTAAAAAGAAAACAAATATTAATTCAAATGTTTTATCCTACAAGCTCAATATTTTGAGGGAAATCTATCTGTGAACCTGAATACTTTAACACACAAACATTCATGAAACACAAAAACAAATCAGAAACTGTCCATATCTAACATAACTTTTCATTTCTCTGACATCAGACTTCCCAAGCAAAGATTGCAAATCCCTAGCTGAACTATAAATCCCCAAATCAAAGAAAATAATAACCCTCGCAGAACTTCCTGGCCTAGGTAACCACTTCACCGTGTTTATTTATGAGTCTATTACTTCCTGTTTGGAAAATGTCCTTGGCACCTCATAGTGTGTGTGTTAAATTCTGTTTCATACAGTCTGAAGCACAGTCTAACTGGAACACAGGCCTGGAAGCTTTAGAGACTGTAATACTCACTCAGCACGGGCAACACCCCCCATCACATAGCCTCCCGGATAGCGGTTTATGGAGACAGTCTTTCACTGCTGACAAGTTGCCGTCTGTTCTCGAGTACACCTGCTGTTTCTCATAAAAGACGTGTCAGTATGGAGCTGGCTCTGAAACCACCTGTGCCCTGGCTTTGGGTGGTCATCAACAAAAGAAATGCTTTAACAGTATCTAAATTATACATGTCATCCTTATCATACTTCTCTCTGGCCTCCAGCAAGTTACATGTTAAAGATATACATTTGATTGTAATGAATAATTCACTAATAATATTTCAAAGGGTCAAAAAATCACATATGTGAGAAATCTGTCTACACAGGAAACAAGTTTACTTGGGAATACTCAGAACTGAAGCTTAACAAAACCAATCAGCAAGTATTTTTAAATTTCCCGCAAAGTTGCATCGTGATCTTAAAGTCAGTGAGACTATTTCACAATGAAATAACATAGTATTTCCTATTCCAGAGTTGTTACTTTACTTTTCACTGTATCTTTAAAATGTTTTCCAATAAAAGCAGGTTGAGATGATGAAAGAAACAGATGTCAATGAGCATTTCACAAAGGAAGTGGACTTCTCTTTGGAATATATCAAGGATCATATTAATTTACAGTAAACCATTATGATTTCAATCAATTATTAATATATCACTTTATACAGCTAATGCTTTAGAATAGCTCAATGAAATTATCTTTCTGTGGCTTAGTTTACATGTAAACAAAAGGAAGAAATAGCCTCTGCTTGACATTCCAAGTGACAGTGCAAACTCAACTCGCTCCTTATAAATCATTCTGAAAGATTATTCTCATTTCTTTTTTCACTTCGGTCTAAAACTTGTCTCTTATTATGTCTCAATCAATATTACATCACCATAATCAAGTTCTGATTATGTGGAGATCTTCAGAAACATGCATTGATCCAAGGAGCTGATTGATATGTGCTGAATTGTTTGAAGGAAAAGAACACAGTATAGATGAAAATGCTAAGAAGTGACTTCCTATTAAATTTGTTTCATCAATATGGGTATTAATGTCTAGGAAGCTGAGCTAAAAAAATCAAACTAAAATTACTAGTCCTTAATTAGAATATGTGAGCAGCTTTTATATTCTCTGTCTGGATGTCTCATGAGTGTATGGATTTCTTTCTGATACTGACCCTCCTACATTTAAACAGTGATGTACAGGAGGTAACTGGGTTTGAGGAAGCATGTAGCAACTCCCATGGGTTTTTCAACTGCTTGCTCTGGGATATGGAGGCATCAATGTAAACAGTTTTTTTCTTTGCATTCTATGTGACAGATAGTTGCCGCAATAATGGCAATCACTGGCATCGTGATGATGGCATATGCAGATAACTTCCACGCCGATTCTATCATAGGAGTGGCATTTGCCGTGGGCTCAGCCTCAACATCTGCACTGTATAAGGTATTTCGTATACTTTATTATGTGCTTATTATCATTTGTAGCTTATATTTTTGTAAAGTAATAAGTAATATTTTATAAAGAAAATACAAAGAAAATGTTGGCTAGCAAAAAAAAAAAGATAGTTTAAATAACAATAAGTATCAATTATTGAGTACTTGCTACAGGTTGTACTTGCCAGAATTTTCACCTGTTACCATACCTTTATGAGGCATAGGTACTTATTCCCACTTTGCAGATGAGGAAACTGAGACTTTGAAAGATTAGGTAACTTGTCCAATACCATCCAGCCAGGAAGTGATAGAGCCAAGATTTAAACTCGGATTGGTCAACTCCAAGGGCTTCCCTGGTGGCCATGACTCCACCCCTCCCAAATCGCCAACCAGTTGTAGCAGGAGCTGAGAAAGACTTCCCTACATTTAACTACCTTCGGTCATTATTTTAACTACAAGGAGGTGTTAAAAATCCTAAGCTAACTATCACTTGAGAGTTTAGTTTGCTACATATCAACCCCATGCTATGTTATTAGCTAGAGGAAGAGCCTCTTTTCCTCTTGATGCATACTCTGGGTCTGTACTATGTACTCACAGTTCTCTCTCCCCTGGAGCTACCTGTCATCAGTGAAAGCTCTATTCAGAGTCACTGCCCCTGACTTCAAAAGCGTGAACTAAGAAAGCAGATCTAAAAGGTTATTCACCAAAGTGCCGCTTTCCAGAGCCAACTTTCTGGATGTGGCAACGGTTCCACTTTCACCTCTCATGGTGTTTCAATGAGAACATCTTCTCTGAAAAGCAGAAAATGCCCGCTGCATCCCTCCTGGATGCCTGTTCTGCTTATTCACCAACTCTGCAGCTCAGAGGACGTTGTGTCTATTTCCATATTGACATTTCCTGACCCACTGATTCTCTGGCAAGCTTTACAAGTGTTCACTCAGTCACCATTAGTGTTTAGCTTGCCCCCAGCTGAGACTCCACTGAGATGTCTGATGTGAACAAAGACCACCAGCACGAGCTCAAGTTCTAAGTCTCTCAAGAGAAGAAAACAATATGTTTAGTTAAAATTAAAAGAAATACCTGGATCTGCTGTATGCCTGGGATGTCTCTTTTATAGAGAGAATTCTCCTGACCACATTACAGATGTATTCATTCTGGTAGTGGTAATATCTGCTGTCACACACAGCATCATATGTACACCAAAGCAAAGATATATTCTGTGCTACACTGTTTGAGGATTAATAAAGGAAGCAGAGGGGTTAAGAAACCAAGAAATATGGACTAGAGACCTGTCTCCTCCCAAACTAAATGTGTGATTTAGGTTAGCTATTTACATGTCCTTGTCATCTTTCTCTATACACAGATTTATAATCCAGAAAAGAAAAACAATCTTTAAAATCTGGAGAATAAATACAGACCTTGTGAAAATATTTTAAACTCAGAGAGAAAAGTGCTTATAAATCCAAGGCATCACTATTGAAAGTGAAAGTTGCTCAGTCGTGTCCTACTCTTTGCAGCCCCATGGACTATACAGTCCATGGAATTCTCCAGGCCAGAATACTGGAGTGGGTAGTCTTTCCCTTCTCCAGGGGATCTTCCCAACCCAGGGATCAAACCCAGGTCTCATGCATTGCAGGCAGATTCTTTGCCAGCTAAGCCACAAGGGAAGCTATTACTCCTCTCAATAACATGATGACAGGTTCTCTCTGTGCAATTTAGTTTTCAGTAATTATCAAAATAAGGATAAAATTAATCCCATGCTTGAAGGACAGAACTGATGGCATCTCAGTCCTAAATGTTTCTGGGCTGGTCTGCATTCTTCTTTATCATCTACCCTATACTCATAACTGACGGTGGGTTTTTCCCAGTTCCAGTATCCCTGTGGCATACCAAGTGGGATTCATTTTATGACAATTTATGTTTTACATAAAGGCTAGAGTGTATTTGAATTCCTTATCATCAGCCCATTTAGTGTCATGGAAATGCTGGGATAAGATGACATAGAGCATAAGTTCTGGGCCAGTTAGCTCCCGATGTAGAACTTGCCTTTCTGATTCAACAACAGCCCCTGACCAAGTGGCTAACAAGTTCCTTTCCTGTTCTAGGTTTTGTTTAAGATGTTTCTTGGAAGTGCTAACTTTGGTGAGGCAGCACACTTTGTCTCCACGTTGGGTTTCTTCAATTTAATCTTCATCTCCTTCACCCCAGTCATCCTGTATTTCACCAAGGTGGAGCACTGGTCCTCGTTTGCAGCTCTGCCATGGGGCTGTCTCTGCGGGATGGCAGGGCTCTGGCTGGGTGAGTGGCTGAGTCTTGCCTTCCATTTCCTATGTCACTTGTCCCTTCCTTGGAGAGTTAAATTGTCATAATAGAAACATTCCCTTCTTAGATGCCTATCTAAGACAGGCATCCCTATCTTCTATTTCCCAAACTCACCTCAGGTTGGTTAATGGTTATAAGGTTCTTTGCAGGCTATTGCTTGATTAGGTCAGAGCAGTCCAACTGGCATGTCCGTGGGTAAAGGGCTGCCCCACCTGGCCCATCCCCAGTGCACTGAGTTCTCTCTGTGTTAAGGTTGCCCTGAGACAAAATGAGGAGACAGCCTGTCTCCCAACTGTGTTACACACCCCAGGGTTTTATAGTCTTCAGTGCTTCTGCTCTCAAGTTTTTTTTGGCTACCTTTTCTTCTCCATAGGAGTCAGATATGATCTAGTCAGAGCTGGGCTGGGACACAGATCTGAGAGGTGAACAGCAGACTGTACTCTGTCCTGCCCCCACCCGATCACCTAGAACTATGGTTTTAATTTGCTTAGGTTCACCTGGCCTCGCTCCTGCTTTTGGTTTGGGCTGTCTTCAGGGAGCACCTTAGTCCACACGCAGATTGGAGTCATCCATTTACCTGATGTGTCTCGGGCAGGGCCCCGGGCTACAGATAACATATTGAACTATATATTCTTGTCCTTAGATTGTCAAAAGAGCTTGTAAGGGTTCTATCGAAAGTGCTAAGGAAAAGCAGTTACCCATTCTGATGAAGCTACCAGTTCTCACTGAATGAGAAATTCTCAACAAAGACCAATACTTCCTATCAGTCTGCTAAAATACTCAGTTCAGCCAGCAAAATGACAGTTGGGGAACTTAGCAGAGTCTATGCTATGCTCATTAAATTTCTGGTTTATTAGGACTGGTCATATCTGACTCCCCACATCTGAGATGAGAGTTGAGATGCTGGAATATTCATTCCCATTGCAGCTCTGTCAGAAGGGCGGAGTAGTTATTGATATTAACTTACAAAGGTCTTTGGCCTTGATTGCTACTGCTGTTGTATGGAAATGATGAACAAGCCCAAGTCTTGTGGAAATCCAACCCATCATCTCTAACAAGCACAAGTGACTCCAGATACCTAAATTTTGGAGCTTAACTAAACCAAGAATTATAGAAAGCAGTAGAAGGATAAACACTGTCCTAACTGTAATGGTTCTAGAACCATCTTTGCTTTTACAGAGAAATGGACAATAATATGGTTTGGGGTCATTTCCATACAGATCTTTCCTGAACTGAGGACTTTTCATAGTTGTCATTTTTCATAGTTGTCATAATTCTCTAACCTCCTAAAACAAGCATTGGCTTGAAATCTATTAAAATAATACTATATAATTTATAAATATTTTTCTTTTTGAAAACAAGTACTTTTGATCATTGTTGGGTATGTGATTACTTGAATAATTTTATATTTAGTTTAAAGTGTCCAAAGAGATAAATTAAAGGGTATCAGGTTATACCTTCAGTTTTTTCTATGGACCTGCCTTAAGGTTATCTGTGTATAAATCAGGATGTGGAAAAGGTCTCTGGTGTTCAGTGAATTATATGCACCTCTGTTGGTTCATGTGATGCACACCCCAAAAGAGAGGGAATAAAACAGCATAGGCCATCCTTGGACAGATCTTCTGTTAGGCAGTAACACTAGGGTGTTTTAGTTATCCAGGAACATGGCATGATACAGCAAACTAGCAAGGGAGAAAGTCGCAATCAGTCATTAGCTCTCAACCTCTGGCTCAACTTTATAGTGCTAACAAGCAGTGTAGTGAACATAGTATTTCACCTCTTTGCATGGTTCCCTACCCCTTTTGTGAGCCAACTGGTAAGAAATCAGGCAACCAGGGTAGCAGAAGAGGAAAAAGGAACGTGACTTTTTCAGGTATGATACATATGAATCCATCTCCAAAATTAGAGGATTAATTGACCAATGTTACTCATTTGAAAAGACCCTGATGCTGGGAAAGATTGAGGGCAGGAGGAGAAGGGGATGACAGAGGATGAGATGGTTGGATGGCATCACTGACTCAATGGACATGAGTTTGGGTAAACTCTGGGAGTTGGTGATGGACAGGGAGTCCTGGTGTGCTGCGGTTCATGGGGTCACAAAGAGTTGGACACGACTGAGCAACTGAACTGAACTGAACAGATAATTTAGAAAGCATGTTTAGCATAGACATTGATTCTTTAGTGTTAAAAGAAGGAAAGAGCCCAGCATCTCAGTTCCCCTTTATCCTGTATGTGTGTGTGTGTTAGTCACTCAGTCATGTCCAGCTCTTTGTGACCCGATAGACTGTAGCCCACCAGGCTCCTCTGTCCATGAAATTCTTGAGGCAAGAATACTGGAGTGGGTTTCCATTCCCTTCTCCAGGGCATCTTCCTAACCTAGGGATCAAACCTGGGGCTCCTGCACTGTAGGTGGGTTCTTTAGCATCTGAGCCACCATCCTCCTCTATTTGGCAGCCTTCAACATCCTGGTGAATGTTGGTGTGGTGCTGACGTACCCAATCCTCATCTCTATTGGGACAGTGCTCAGCGTTCCTGGAAATGCAGGTACTGTACAAACTGACATGTGCCCAGGAAGATCCCCGCTTGTGTGTGTTTCACACCCGAAGTTATTTCTTTGAGTAATTGTGAATTGTGTCCCTTGCCTGGGAACATGTTTTTAAATATCTCGAAGGTGGCAGACAACAGAATAACTGTGCAGCACATTTAAAAATTGCAGCTACAAACACTGTTTTTACTTGGTCGTGCTTTTAGAATTAAATACCAAATGTATCATTTGGGTTTCATGTAATCTCCCTGACAACCTAATTTTGTGGTATTTTTAGAGGAAGTCCTATGGAAACAAAAGGCATCCCAGCACAGGACTCTCAAGTCAACGTCACTAATGAAAGTGTAGGGAATGTACAGGGTGTTGGCTCCCCATCAGACTACCCATGGGGAGCTGTGAAAGCTTCCCCTAGGGACATAGCAGATGGCCCTCTGGAATAGATACAGGAAAAAAGCAATTTGACTCACTTCAGGGACAAGAGGAAAAGCTGTTTTTCCAGGAAAATCTTTCTAGTGAAAACTGTCAGTGGAACAAATAATGAAAGTAAAGTATATGGATGACTATATAGTCCTTCTAATTTTAAAATTCTATGTTTCCAAGTCTTTGGTAGCCTTCTTTCTTTGTCCCAGGATAATCAGCAAATGTTTACTGAACACTTACTATGTGATCAGGACTATAGAAGGGACGGGGGTGGGGAGGGGTGGGGGGAGAAAAGATAGTGTTGGTCCCGTAACAAACTTACACTGTATACTACAGTATACAGATGGTATGGTACTGGCACAAAAACAGAAATATAGATCAATGGAACAGAATAGAAAGCCCAGAAATAAACCCATTCACCTATAGTCACCTAATCTATGACAAAGAAGGCAAGAATATACAATGGAGAAAATAGTCTCTTCAATAAGTGGTGCTGGGAAAACTAGAGAACTACATGTAAAAGAATGAAATTAGAACACTCCTTAACATCATACAAAAATAAATTTTAAATGGATTAAAGACCTAAATGTAAGGCTAGACACTATAAAACTCTTAGAGGAAAACATAGGCAGAACACTCCTTTGACATAAATCATAGCAAGAACTTTTTTGACCTAGGCCCTAAAGTAATCAAAATAAAAACAAAAATAAATAGGACCTTATTGCACTTAAAAGCTTTTGCACAGCAAAAGAAATCATAAACAAGATGAAAAGACAACCCTCAGAATAGGAGAAAATATTTGCCAATGAAGCAACTGGCAAGGGATTAATCTCCAAGGTATATAAACAGCTCATGTGGCTCAATTCCCTAAAAACAAACAACCCAATTAAAAAAAGACCTAAATAGATATTTCTCCAAAGAAGACTTTACAGATGACTAAGAGTCACATGAAAAAAATGCTCAACACAATTAATTATTACAGAAATCCAAATCAAAACTAAAATGAGGCATCACCTCACACTGGTCAGAATGAGCATCATCAAAAAAATCTATAAACAATAAATACTGGAGAGGATGTGGAGAAGAGGGAATCCTCCTATACCACTGGTTGGAATGTAAATTGACACAGCCGCTACAGAGAACAATATGGAGGCTCCTTAAAAACAGTACTCTCATTGACCCAGCAATCCCACTCCTGGGCATACACCCAAAGAAAACTATAATTACAGAAGATACATGCATGCCTGTGTTCATGTCAGTAGTATGTAGAATCACCAGGACAGGGATGGATAAAGAAGATTTGGCACATATATATACTAGAATATTACTCAGCCATAAAAAGGAATGAAATAGTGCCATTTGCAGAGATGTAAATGGACCTAGAGACTGCATTACAGAGAGAAGTCAGAAAGAAAAAAACAAAATATCATATATTAATGCTTATGCATATATGTGGAATCTAGAAAAATAGTACAGATGAACCTATTTGTAAAGCAGAAATAGACACAGAAATATAGAGAACAAATGTATGTACACCAAAGAGGAAAGAAGGGGTGGGATGAATTGGGAGATTGGGATTGACATATACACTATCATGTATAAAATAGATAACTAATGAGAACCTTCTGTATAGCACAGGGAACTCTACTTAATCCTCTGTGGTGAAAAAGAGGGGATATATGTATATATAGAGCTGATTCACTTTTCTGTACAACAGCAAGTAACGCAACATTGTAAAACAACTAAACTCCAAAAAAGGAGTGCTATGAGAAAAAAAAAAAAACAACTCACACTGAATATGGAAAACAAGACTGACTATATGAAATAACTTAGAACTCCACAAAGTAACTTATCATTAAATGCCAAATTGTGTAAAAGACTCCAAGGACTACAAGATATTTAAGGGAAAGTCATATCAAAGAGGAGTGGAGTGTCAAGGAATTCCATTTATTCATCCACGGATTCATTCATTTAATAAGTAATTTCTGAGTACTTAGTATATGCTACCAACTGTGCTAACACTGGTGATAGATCTTGAGTAAGACATAGTCCCTGCCCTCAGGATCATGTGGTATAGAAGGGAGATAAAAGGAACTCAGTAATTACAATGTAGAGAGAGAAAGACTTTGACAGAGATATGTACTGAATGCTCTAAGAGCACTCAGGAGGGGGACTGAAGGCAGCTTCTTGCAAGGAGAGTAAAAAGAGGAATTTAACAGAGGGTTCAGCTGGATTAAGTGAGTACATTAGGAAAGAACATTCCTTACAAAGAGAAGAGCATGTACATGATTCTACTACTTAAATACATGCCTCCTAAAACTGAAAACAGGGACTCAAAAATATATCTGTATGAGATGTTCACTGCAGCACTATTGACAAAAGCCAAATGTGGAAACACCCAGATGTCCATCAAGAAATGAATCGATAAACAAACTGTGATAGAATGGGATATTATTCAGCCATAAAAAGGAATGAAGTGCTAACACATGGTACGATGTGGCTGAACCTCAAAAACATTATGTTAATCAAAAGAAACCAGACATAAAATGTCAAATATTATATATTTCAATTTATAAGAAATATCTAGAACAGATAAATCCATAGACACACAGCAGTTTGGTGGTTTCCAGGTGTTGGGGTGGGGGTAGGCAAGTGGGGAGTAACTGCTTAATGGGTATGGGGTTTTATTTTGAAATGATGAAAACGTTTTACACTAGATGGAGGAGCTGGTACATTAATCTATACAAAATGAATGTACAAAATACTAGTAAACTCACTTGAAAGTGGTTACTTTTAATTTGTATCAGTTTCACTGCAACTAAAAATTTTTAAAAGACTAGCATTTGCAAAGACCTAAACATTAATAAGCTTGGTTCATTTAAAAAATCTTCAGTGGGCCAGTGAAACTGGAGAAGTATGAAGGAATACAGAGGAAAGATATTAAGAAATAAAACTTCATGTATACACTTCAACAAGGGCCGACTGTTACAGCACAGGGAACTCTGCTTAATATTCTGTAATAACTTAAATGGGACAAGAATTTGAAAAAGAATAGACAAACGTATATGTGTGACTAAACCACCTTACTGTAACCTGAAACACTGTTAATCAACTATAATCCAATATAAAATAAAATTATTTTTTAAAATTGCAGAGGCTATTCAATCAGATGGTATTTGCCTGGACGGCTAAGTATGATTTAGGGAAAAGAAATGGAAAGCAGATGTAGAGAGCCATGTCAATAACGACATAGAAAAGGGAAAGATAAGCTTGTGAGAACAAGAGAGACTTTCGGCAGTCTTCTAGAAGTAGCATTGATTTGGGTCGCTTGTTTTCAGAGAAGCTTAGAAACCATCACAGGCTGACTGACTCGCTGTTGCCCCCTAGCTGTGGATCTCCTGAAGCAGGAGGTGATATTCAATGTCGTCCGCCTGGCTGCTACCATCATCATCTGCATTGGGTTTCTGCTGATGCTCTTGCCTGAGGAGTGGGACGAAATTACCCTGAGATTCATCAACAGCCTAAAGGAAAAGAAGAGCGAGGAGCACGTGGATGACATCACCGATTCCAGTGTCCACCTGCGAAGCAGAAGCAGGGCCAATGGGACCGTGTCCATACCACTGGCTTAAGGAGGGACACATTTGGAATGCACGTGTATGTATATTCTGTGAATATAATAGAATTTTCTCACTACCTGTACACTCAAACTCTGAATTTGGATAAGTTATGTGTGGAATAATGCCAACAGAAAAGTTTACATTTATATGCTTATCAAGGAACTGGTGTAAATAGTCATAATAAATTTTTTATTAAAACATATTCATCCTATTTCTATTTCTTCTGGCTTTTTTCTTGGGGGGAGGGGGGATTTTCCCCATAATTCACAGAATTTCCTGAAAATATGAGATTCTCTTAAATATAGCCGTATATACATGGCCATCTCAAACTCTGCTATATTTAAAGGGATAACCAACAGGGATCTATTGCATAGCACATGGAAATCTGCTCAGTGTTGAGTAGCAGCCTGGATGGGAGGTGGGATTGGGGGAGAACCACATGTGTGTGTTCGTCACTTAGTCGTGTCTGACTTTTGCAGCCCCATACACTGTGGCCTACCAGGTTCCTCTATCCATGGACTTCTTCAGGCAAGAACATTGGAGTGGGTAGCCTTCCCTTCTCCAGGGGATCTTCCCAACGCAGGGATTGAACTCGGGTCTCCTGCACGGCAGGCAGATTCTTCACCTGCTGGGCCACCAGGGAAGCCTGAAAGGGAGAATGGAGACATGTCTATGTACGGTCCCCTCACTGTTTACCTGGAACCATCCCCTTGTTAATTGGCTGTACCCCAACACGAAATAAAAAGTTCCAAATTAATAAATAACGATAACATTCATTCCTATTAGGAAAAAAAATGAGAGTCTATTAAATTATGGGCTTGTCATTATATTTTTCTGGAGAAGGCAATGGCACCCCACTCCAGTACTCTTGCCTGGAAAATCCCATGGGCGGAGGAGCCTGGTAGGCTGCAGTCCATGGGGTCGCTGAGTTGGACATAACTGAGCAACTTCACTTTCCCTTTTCAATTTAATGCATTGGAGAAGGAAATGGCAACCCACTCCCGTGTTCTTGCCTGGAGAATCCCAGGGACGGCAGAGCCTGGTGGGCTGCCGTCTATGGGGTCGCACAGAGTCAGACACGACTGAAGCAACTTAGCAGCCGCAGCAGCATTACCTTTTTCTCACTTGGAACTGAGACCTTTTCATTCAATCAGAAAAAAACTGCATACTTTATATATATTTAAGGCCAATAACAGCCTTTAACTTGAAATCTAGAAAGTAAATCTCAATAGAGCATCTTCCAAATGCAAGAACTATTAGGACCTACTAGAACTACTAGGAACAATGAAAATCTGAGAATCCCAGGGATGGGGTCGCACAGAGTCGGACACGACTGAAGTGACTTAGCAGCAGCAGACTTTCAACAAGCTTTCAGGAGTACCAAGCATAAAAGAATTTACAAATATCTCTAATATGAGGTAGACATTTGAAAATGGTACAATGGTTATGGAGAAGACATCTATTACCAGCCGTCTCTAATTCTTTCACCAGTTTTAGACTTGTTTATGTTTGCTTTCACTTCTTCAAATCCCATTCATTCTTCAACCCACCCTCTGCCCCCATCATTCCTCTGGTAAAATGCATTCACCAAACACCAATGACCTCTGTCCTGCAAAACCGTAACAACACTGTTCAACTCCAGTTATATTGTCCTCTGTGTAGCATTTGACATGATGACCACTCCTTTTTCCTACCATGTTCCCTTCACCTAGATCCCTTCTGGTCTCCTGGTCCTCTTTATGCCTTCCTGGCTTCTACTCTGGACCCGTCTTCCTCGGCTGGTCTCATCACTGTCAGTGTTCAGTCCCTGTCCTTCTTAGCATCTCATTCCACACTCTCTTCCTCAGATGTCTCATTTGTTTCCGTGGCTTTCAATGTCATCCATGTGGTGATAGCTTCATAATATTTATCGCCAGCCCAGATTTTCTCTCCTGAGGGTCAGATTTGACTATCTAAATGCTTCCTGCAAGCTCACTTGGATGCCTCGTTGTTCATTTTGCATTCAAGGACATAGTTGAATTTATCATCTCTCCTCCTTAGATCTATTCCTTCCTCTTCCTTGTTTCCTGTCTAGGTCAATGGTACCATCATTCCCTGGCTGCCCAAGCCAGAGATCAAACTTCACATCTGCCTTCCTCACCCTCCACATCTAAACCATTAAGTCCTACTGATTGTTTTCCTTAATATTTCCTGAATCCACACACTTCTCTATTATGCTACCTATTCTAGGAACCTATCATCTCTTTCCCTGATGAATGAAATATGCTTTTTACTGGTCTGCCTCTCTCTAATCCTTTTTGTGCCCTGCAGAGTGTCTTTGCTAATATATAAACTTGATCACTTTACTTCCATATATAGAATACTTCAGTGGCATCTCATTGTCCTCGGAGTAAGGTCCGAACATCTTTGCTGGTCATTCAAAGTTCATCACTGATTGGCCCCTGCTTACTTCTAGAGAAGCACCATCCAGTAGAACTTTCTATGATGATGGAAATAGTTCAGATCTGCACTGTTCAACACTGTCCAAAACTGACTATTGATCTCTTTAAATATGGCTAATGCAATTGAGGGACTGCATTTCTAATTTTATTTACTTTTAATTAATTTTAAGTTAATATGAATTAGCCACATGTGTCTCTTGGCTACCATATTGGACAGCATAGCTTCTACCACACCACCCCCTGTGGCCCTCTGGAATCTCTATGCTTTAATGCAACCATCCTTTTTATAGTTCTTCAATCAAGACATACTCTCTTTCTTGTACTTTCTTTTCCTCTCTCTTCACCTGAATAACCCTTACCTAGGCTTCATGGGGCTTCCCTGAGAGCTCAGTTGGTAAAGAATCCGCCTGTAATGCAGGAGACCCCAGTTCAATTCCTGAGTCGGGAAGATCCCCTGGAGAAGGGGTAGGCTACCCACTCCAGTATTCTTGGGCTTCCCTGATAGCTCAGTTGGTAAAGAATCCGCCTGCAATGCAGGAGACTCCAGTCCAATTCCTTAGTTGGGAAGATCCCCTGGAGAAGGGATAGGCTACCCACTCCAGTATTCTTGGGCTTCCCTGGTGGCTCAGCTGGTAAAGAATCTGCCTGCAATGCGGGAGACCTAGGTTCGATCCCTGAGTTGGGAAGATCCCCTGGAGAAGGGGCTTCATGACATGATTTCTTCCTATTTTCATGGAAGATCTTTTCTCATCCCCCAAACTAAATGGTGTGGCTTTCATAAACACTTCCGCTTACCCCATTATAGCGCTGGTTGCACTTTCTGGTTATTGTCAGTCTACACATCTGAGTTCCCAGTAGCCCAACAGTTCCTTGCAAAAAGGAATTGTGTGGCATTCATCAGGATGGCAGTCATCATTCAGGAATTGTGTTTTGCCTGGCACTTACAGATACACAATAAATGAATGAATGGGCCGCTTTACACTGGAGATATGGCCCTTCCCTGAACTTTATTAGATGAGTCTCAATTAAGGACAGACAGTCTCATAGACCAGCAGAAGGCAATTCTTCCCTAAGAGGCTGAGTAGTTTAGGGCACCTAGAAATTTAAGATAATCTACACTTTCTGGCATCTGTTTTATAATTCTTTTTTTTTTTCCCCCCTTTTTTCCAAGTTGCTCCAACAGTGTAGGTTAAAGGGTTATGGGACAAGAAAAAGGAACTTGGGATATCATACTTGCTGGCTTGGTATCATAGTCAATAAAAACCTCACCATTTTTTCATTTCTCTGTCGTTTTTTGAAAAAGCAATGACAACCTCTGGGTGCTGATAGATGACATGATATTAATTAAAACAATAATTATAACATACTTCAAGCTGCATGAAAATGATAGAAAATAAATGAAGTATTTTATCAGTAAATATGAATTAATTCATTATCTAAGTAGAGTTGCTTTTAACTATTTAAATGTCATAATGGTACAAACATTGCTCTTGCCTTGTTTTTAAATTTCTGTTAAATAGCAGTAATCACTGACTAACCCACTCCAACGTCTTCCCATTGCTTAGCATGGCATTTAAAATTACATTTTGACATCTTTAAGAAATGAGTTGTTTTGCTCTTTTTGATAATTCATTTTGAAAAATGGAATCAGCTACCCTGGAAAGCCCAAATTCAACCTATAACTGATCAGTGTAATTAGCTTAGTCATATTAAGAAAACACTTCCATTATGGTATTCATTCATTTATTCATTAAAACATTATTAAATTCTACTTCTCGCTGTGAAGTAGGGCATTATGTTAGATTATCACCCACTGGCATCTCCCTGCCTCTAGGGCAGCGCTGTCTGATAGAACTTTCTGTGCTCGTAGAAATGTCCTCTCTCTGCACTGTGGGGAAAAGGACACAAAAAGAATAGAAAATGGTCCCTGCTTCCAGAAGTTTCAACCACTAAGTTATTACCATGGCAATTAAAGTGAAAGTTTTAGTCATTCAGTCCTGTTCAACTCTGTGATCCCATGGACTGTAGCCTGGAATTTTCCAGGCCAGAACACTGGAGTCAGTAGGCTTTCCCTTCTCCAGGGGATCTTCCCAACCCAGGGATCGAACCCACGTCCCCCACATTGCAGGCGGATTCTTTACCAGCTGAGCCACAAGGGATTCATAAATAAAAGGTAAGACTTTTCCCTTACTACCTCCCATGGTCATTGTGAGTCAGATGAGATAGTGTGTTTTAGTTACTATCCAAACACAGGTGGGCTCCCTATGTCCTTATGAAGTGCCTTCCATGAGCCAGGTTCAGTTTGGTTTAGAGGGTACTGACAAAGTCCCTGTCCTCATGGTGGAAGTACTTAATTGAGGTTCCTATTATTCTGTCTCAAACTTGGTTCCTCCCCAAAGTCCAGGAGACTGTGGCTCCTTTGGGTGACTGGGCTAAATGGGCAGCACAGCACGGGGATAAGAGCACCCCTGTTGTAGCCCCAATTCTGAACTTCTAAGACAGGGACTTTAGCTAATTACCGACATCTCTCAGCTCCTTGGTTTCATGTTCAGTACAATGAGGATATTAATACCGATCATTTGAGGTTGTTGAACATATTCAATAAAAAACACACTGCCAGACAATCCAGAAGTAGCTACTGTTAGGATTTCCTCTGTTTACTCCTCTAGGTCCTTTTTCAAAGCACTTATCCACAGCACTATGCCAAGCAGTCACAGAGCCTGCTGCCGAGCAGGGGATTTTACCCAAAATAAACCAGAGACAAAAGAA